TGCTGTCATACAGCAGCGTCTTTGGCAAGGAAACGATGTCGCAGAAGTTCCATTACCTGCGCCACTTCGCCAACTACGTGAGGCGTTGGGGCCATGTGGCGCTGCCGTCGTGCTGGGTTTTGGAGCGCAAGCACAAGACCAGCAAGCGCTTTGCGAACGCTCTTCAGGTGGGGGCTGCAGCCTCCAGCGGCTGGGACGCCAATGTCCTGAAGAGCGTCACCGAGCGGCACCTGTGGCAGCTCATGGATGGCGGCACCTTTAAGGTTAACTGCCTGGTTAACGCCACCAGGCCGTCCAAGGCCATCTCGCGCGAACTGCTGCAGCAGTTCGGGCCTGCGGACTTTGTTACGTCCGCTGCAGCGCGGTGCCGCTACCACGACGTCAAATACGGCGACGTCGTGCTGTTGGAGGACGGAGGAGGGGAACACATTGCGGCCGAGGTGTTGAAACACCTCTCCTTCACCAAGAACGGCCACTACTATGGCTTGAGCTTGGTCCTGCCCTACTTCTTCAAGGAGAAGCTGCACCCGCGCGCCTCCGCGCACGTGCTTGGCGGCGATGCCGACGCCTTTTGGGCGCACACGGCGAGCATCGTGTGCTCGCTCGCGTGGGCGCCGCGCGAGGGCGGCGGCATCCGAGCGGCGCGCCCGATATGGTCGCAGCCGCGGTGGTGCGCTTTAGCCTAAAACGTGGATTCCTTACTGGCGCTGCAGCGCACTTTTTTACATTGCTAAATGCTTCGGTGCTGCAGCACCTGAACGTTGCATGGTCGACGACTCCTCTTCTCCGCCTTGAAAACGTGGATTCCTTCTGCATAGCGCACCTTTTTCATTGACACTTCGGTGCTGCAGCACCTGAACAGTGCATGGTCGCCGATTCCTCTTCTCCGCCTCGTTCCTCCTCCTCCTCTTGCGCTGCAGCGCTAATGTCGTTGATCAGTGGTGCGGTCGTTCAAACTCCTCCTTCCCCGCATCCTCCCCCTTCTCCCCCTCCTCCTCCTGCTCCTACTGCTGCTCCTCCTCCTCATCTTGCTCCCCCTCCCCCTTCTCCTCTCCCCCCCCTCCTCTGACGAGGGGGGGGGGTGGGGGACGAGGGGGGGAGGGTGGAGGAGGGGGAGGGGGAGGAGGAGGAGGAGGAGGAGGAGGAGGAGGAGGAGGAGGAGGAGGAGCATGAGGAGGAGGAAAACGACGAGATAGCTCAGAGCGAGAGGAGGATGGGGAGGAGGAGGAAAACGACGAGATAGCTCAGAGCGAGAGGCGGCTGGGGAGGAGGGGGGGCGGGGGGGGGGAGGAGGAGGAGGAGGAGGACGAGGAGGAGGAGGAGGAGGAGGAGGAGGAGGGGAGGAGGAGGAGGAGGAGGAAGAGGGGAGGAGGAGGAGGAGGAGGAGGAGGAGAGAGAGAGTAGACTAGGAGGAGGAGGAGGAGGAGGAGGAGGATGAGGAGGGGATGGGGGGAGGAGGAGGACGATGGAGGAGCGGAGGGTTAGGAGGACGAGGAGGAGGATGAGGAGGAGGAGGACGAGGGAGGAGTATATGATGATGACGAGAGGAGGAGGGCGAGAGGAGGAGGCGGAGAGGAGGAGGAGGAGGAGGAGGAGGAGGAGGAGGAGGAGGAGGAGGAGGAGGAGGAGGAGGAGAGGGAGGAGGAGGAGGAGGAGGAGGATAGAAGGAGGGGGGAGGAGGAGACGCCGCCCGCGCGCGTGCGGCTTACAGGCCGCGCGGGGAGCGCGCCCTCCCTTTTCCCTTTGCTTCGCGGCTCGGGATCGCCATCGAAAAACATATCAAGACATGTTTTTCGATGGCGACCCCGAGCCATGGGGCAGTCTCCTCTCGGAGGACCCCTCGGGGATGTCGGGGATCCTCCTCGACATCCCCGAGGGGTGGGACGGGCTCGGCAGCCATCGGCCCGTCGCACGTCGTCGTCCCCCAACCCTCTGGGTTGTGGACGACGGCTACGTGCGGTGGGCCGCTCTGGCTGCCGAGCGGCGCGCAGGGCCCCCCCCGCCGCCCGCGCCAGCGGCAATGCCGCTGGAGATGGCGGCGCAGAGCGCGGCGCAGGCGAACTTCGCCTGCGCCGCGCTCAGCCGCGCCAGGCTGCCGCTCGACGCGGCGGCCCTGCAGGGCCGCCGCGTCGAGCGGCCGTCTTGGGCTGAGGCGCGCCCGTCGCCGCCTCCGCCGCCGCCTCCCCCTTTCCTCCTCCTCCTCATCCTCCTCCCCGTCCTCCTCCTACTCCTCCTCCTCCTCGACATCTCCTCCTCCTTCTCCTCCTCCTCCTCCTCCTTCTCCTCCTCCTCCTCTCTCCCCCTCCTCTTCCTCCTCCTCCTCCTCCTCCTCTTCCTCCTCCTCCTTCTCCTTCTCAGAGTCCGCTAACCACTTAGTAAGTCCGCTAACCACTTAGTAAGTAAGCTAGCTAGCGGACTTACTATGTGGTTACTAAGTGGTTAGTAAGTGGTTACTGGGTGGTTACTAAGTGGCAGCTAAGTGGTTACTAAGTGGTTAGCAAGTGGTAGCTAGAGTGGGGACTTAGCGAGCTAACCTCTACTAGAGACTTAGCAAGGTTAGCCTCCAGCTATAAGTGGTTAGTATCTCCTACTAACCAGTTGTAGCTGGTTATACAACTTACATCCGACTTACAACACTTATAACCTACTTACAACTCACTTGTACGTACATACTAAATCCTCTAACCCCTTAGTATCCGCGCTAACCACCTAGCAGCCGCCGCGGCCATCCAAGCAGGGGCCAAGGCATGAACGATTCTTGCCCCGGTGCCGGTGCCGGTGCTGGTGCCGGTGCCGGTGCCGGTGCCGGTGCCGGTGCCGGCGCGGTGCCGGTGCCAGTGCCGGTGCCGGTGCCGGTGCCGGTGCCGGTGCCGGTGCCGGTGCCGGTGCCGGTGCCGGTGCCGGTGCCGGTGCCGGTGCCGGGGCCGGTGCCGGTGCCGGTGCCGGTGCCGGTGCCGGTGCCGGTGCCGGTGCCGGTGCCGGTGCCGGTGCCGGTGCCGGTGCCGGTGCCGGTGCCGGTGCCGGTGCCGGTGCCGGTGCCGGTGCCGGTGCCGGTGCCGGTGCCGGTGGCCGGTGCCGGTGGCCGGTAGCCGGTGCTGGTGCCAGTGCCGGGGCCGGTGCCGGTGCCGGTGCTGGTGCTGGTGGCCGGTGCTGGTGCGGGTTCTTGTTTTCCCTGAACATCCTCTCCTTCTCCTTCCCGCCTCCCGCCTCCCAGTGCCCCTCCCGCCCCTCCAGAGAGGCCCCGCCTGAGCGAGGAGGGTATCGGAAACCCATACTATTTACATGGTTTCGTGCCTTTCTCACCTCTCCAGGGAGGCCCCGCTTGAGCGAGGAGGGCATCCCACCCCTCCAGGGAGGCCCCGCCTGAGCGAGGAGGGTATCGGAAACCCATACTATTTACATGGTTTTGTGCCCCTCCCACCCCTCCAGGGAGGCTCCGTCTGAGCGAGGAGGGTATCGGAAACCCATACTATTTACATGGTTTCGTGCCCCTCCCTCCCCTCCAGGGAGGCCCCGCCTGAGCGAGAAAGGTATCGGGAACCCGTACTATTTACATGTTTTCGTGCCCTTCCCACCTCTCCATGGAGGCCCCGTCTGAGCGAGGAGGGTATCGGAAATTAATAAAGATTACATGGTTTCGTGCTCCTCCCACCCCTCCGGGGAGGCCCCGCCTGAGCGAGGAGGGTATCGGAAACCCATCTTATTTACATGGTTTCATGCCCTTTCCATCCCTCCAGGGAGGCCCCGCCTGAGCGAGGAGGGTATCGGAAACCCATACTATTTACATGGTTTCGTGCCCTTCCCACCTCTCCAGGGAGGCCCCGTCTGAGCGAGGAGGGTATCGGAAACCCATGCTATTTACATGGTTTCGTGCCCCTCCCACCCCTCCAAGGAGGCCTCATCTGAGCGAGGAGGGTATCGGAAACCCATACTATTTACATGGTTTCGTGCCCCT